TCTTGTAAAAATGTGCTGATGCATAATGAGATTACCCTCGACTGCAGTTTCCCCCCAATCCCCCAAAATGGGCACTGGCCTTCCACTCTCCAAAACTCTTAAGTCAGGCTAACCATTTTCTCTGAATCCTTCTTGAGTTCCTTCTGGGGCTCCAACAGAATTCTGGGGAGCATTGGTAGTGCTTTTGGCGACATACTGAGTTCTGGTTTCAATCCCCAACACAGGGGGAAACATACCCAAGTTTCCTGACAGTTATCCCCTGTTCACCTATATAATATTGGAGGTTGTCGCTGTTCGGGTTGCTCCGGGGGGTGGTTACATACCTTAGATAGGTTTGGGCTTTAAAATGAGCTGAAGTAGGATAACACTTTTAAAAAAAAATTTCATGCCATCTAACATTCACTCAAACCTGCTGGATGCATAACCCCTAAAACTCAAAAGCCCCTTTCCCCCCTCCCTCTTTTTTTTGTATGGTATATAAAAAAGAAAGAAGCACTATTTGCTTCTCTTTTATTTTTCAAACTTTTCGGTAATATTTTAAGATTTTTTTACCAAATGTTCGATACTGATGTCACTGCCTTGCATTTCCTTACATTATTTGAAAACCCAATTTTTCATAATTTGATGTGATATATCTTAAAAAAAATTTTAAAAGTTTGATATAATGTACTGTTTTCAACATCTGTGAAGTACTCATCAATTTTAATATCTATATGTAAAGTTTAAGATGCCTATCATTTCTTTTTAACCTTTAATACAAGTTACTTGGAGATTGATATCATATGTTCCCCAAGAGAGACGTTTTTTTGTTGGAAAGAATCTACTCTAGTAAAATCTAGGTTCTGCTTCATAATTCAAATTTTAACAGGCCAAGTTTTCCCCGCTATTTTTGGTGCATGTTAAAAATTAGTATACCAAAAATCAGGGTGAGTTTTAAAAATTAATGATTAACTCATGCAACCTGGTCCATGCCGAAAGTAAAGGGGACATTCATGCTGTTGAAAAACCCAAATGATCAAAAAAGAAAACGAATATGTTTTTTAAAAGCCAAACAAAAGTCAACACTAAAAAAAAAGCAGTAAAAACAAATGTAAATTTGTTGCAGTCGGTGGAAAAAAGCTTTAGTGACTTTATTTCATAGCCACCCAATGATTGCTTTCTTTTTTTTAAATCATGGTTGAGTATAATTGTTTACCAAATATTATTATTATGATTTTATAAGGGATTACTAATTCCCCCATTTTATATTTTTTTCAAAATTTTTAATTTTCTTTTGAACATGCTTTTTGTTAAGATTTCCCCTTTTTTAAAACCATCTTGGGGATAAACGACCAACAGGGCCTAGGGCCAATTTTCATTGTAGTTGCATAAAGTTTAAAAAAATGTTTTTCCCCCCCAAGGTCTCCGTATTGGTGCCCCCCATGGCAAAAACATTGAAGAGGCCCAAATTTGGGAATTTCCCTGCTCAGGTACCATGGGGGCAAATTAAATTTAAAGAAATGGGCACATTTATTAAAAATTTGCTCATCATTTAAAAAAATTTGCAACCATGGACATGTTTCAATTTTTTAAAATGAATATTTTTGTTCAATAACAAAATACAGTAAACCATGGTTTATTTTTATTTTTTATATTTTTGTCTACACCTTCACATGAAGATGTTACTGATTTGTCCCAATTTACCCGTGTACCTGTGTTAGTTTTTTGCTGCACGGCTCATGTATTAAAAAATACCTTGAAGGCTTCATCAGTGTTTTATAATTCCATATAAATGTATGTTAGCTTCTTGCCAATAACTTTATTTTTTCAGATTATTATTTGCAGCACTGTAAGCAGTTAATGAATTATCAAAAGCATTCTATGTGTTAAAGTATGTTATAGAGGCCCCGTAACATTAATTCTAGAATTGAAATTGTTATTCTTTTATATTGTACATGTCCCATGAGTGGAATGATGATGTAAAGAGAGTAGTAAGGGAGAAAAAGTTAGCATATGAAAAGTTTTTACAAAGTAGAAGTGATGCAAGGAGGGAAGAGTATATGGAGAAAAAGAGAGAGGTTAAGAGAGTGGTGAAGCAATGTAAAAAGAGAGCAAATGAGAGAGTGGGTGAGATGTTATCAACAAATTTTGTTGAAAATAAGAAAAAGTTTTGGAGTGAGATTAACAAGTTAAGAAAGCCTAGAGAACAAATGGATTTGTCAGTTAAAAATAGGAGAGGAGAGTTATTAAATGGAGAGTTAGAGGTATTGGGAAGATGGAGGGAATATTTTGAGGAATTGTTAAATGTTGATGAAGATAGGGAAGCTGTGATTTCGTGTATAGGACAAGGAGGAATAACATCTTGTAGGAGTGAGGAAGAGCCAGTTGCGAGTGTGGGGGAAGTTCGTGAGGCAGTAGGTAAAATGAAAGGGGGTAAGGCAGCCGGGATTGATGGGATAAAGATAGAAATGTTAAAAGCAGGTGGGGATATAGTTTTGGAGTGGTTGGTGCAATTATTTAATAAATGTATGGAAGAGGGTAAGGTACCTAGGGATTGGCAGAGAGCATGCATAGTTCCTTTGTATAAAGGCAAAGGGGATAAAAGAGAGTGCAAAAATTATAGGGGGATAAGTCTGCTGAGTATACCTGGTAAAGTGTATGGTAGAGTTATTATTGAAAGAATTAAGAGTAAGGCGGAGAATAGGATAGCAGATGAACAAGGAGGCTTTAGCAAAGGTAGGGGGTGTGTGGACCAGGTGTTTACAGTGAAACATATAAGTGAACAGTATTTAGATAAGGCTAAAGAGGTCTTTGTGGCATTTATGGATTTGGAAAAGGCATATGACAGGGTGGATAGGGGGGCAATGTGGCAGATGTTGCAAGTGTATGGTGTAGGAGGTAGGTTACTGAAAGCAGTGAAGAGTTTTTACGAGGATAGTGAGGCTCAAGTTAGAGTATGTAGGAAAGAGGGAAATTTTTTTCCCAGTAAAAGTAGGCCTTAGACAAGGATGTGTGATGTCACCGTGGTTGTTTAATATATTTATAGATGGGGTTGTAAGAGAAGTAAATGCGAGGGTCTTGGCAAGAGGCGTGGAGTTAAAAGATAAAGAATCACACACAAAGTGGGAGTTGTTACAGCTGCTCTTTGCTGATGACACTGTGCTCTTGGGAGATTCTGAAGAGAAGTTGCAGAGATTGGTGGATGAATTTGGAAGGGTGTGCAAAAGAAGAAAATTAAAGGTGAATACAGGAAAGAGTAAGGTTATGAGGATAACAAAAAGATTAGGTGATGAAAGATTGAATATCAGATTGGAGGGAGAGAGTATGGAGGAGGTGAATGTATTCAGATATTTGGGAGTGGACGTGTCAGCGGATGGGTCTATGAAAGATGAGGTGAATCATAGAATTGATGAGGGGAAAAGAGTGAGTGGTGCACTTAGGAGTCTGTGGAGACAAAGAACTTTGTCCTTGGAGGCAAAGAGGGGAATGTATGAGAGTATAGTTTTACCAACGCTCTTATATGGGTGTGAAGCATGGGTGATGAATGTTGCAGCGAGGAGAAGGCTGGAGGCAGTGGAGATGTCATGTCTGAGGGCAATGTGTGGTGTGAATATAATGCAGAGAATTCGTAGTTTGGAAGTTAGGAGGAGGTGCGGGATACCAAAACTGTTGTCCAGAGGGCTGAGGAAGGGTTGTTGAGGTGGTTCGGACATGTAGAGAGAATGGAGCGAAACAGAATGACTTCAAGAGTGTATCAGTCTGTAGTGGAAGGAAGGCGGGGTAGGGGTCGGCCTAGGAAAGGTTGGAGAGAGGGGGTAAAGGAGGTTTTGTGTGCGAGGGGCTTGGACTTCCAGCAGGCATGCGTGAGCGTGTTTGATAGGAGTGAATGGAGACAAATGGTTTTTAATACTTGACGTGCTGTTGGAGTGTGAGCAAAGTAACATTTATGAAGGGGTTCAGGGAAACCGGCAGGCCGGACTTGAGTCCTGGAGATGGGAAGTACAGTGCCGGCACTCTGAAGGAGGGGTGTTAATGTTGCAGTTTAAAAACTGTAGTGTAAAGCACCCTTCTGGCAAGACAGTGATGGAGTGAATGATGGTGAAAGTTTTTCTTTTTCGGGCCACCCTGCCTTGGTGGGAATCGGCCAGTGTGATAATAAAATAAAATAAAAATAAAATGTCCCATGAGGGGGAAAAACTTTAGTGGTTGGAGACTGTGGTTTCCACTGATTCCTTGGGCTACTTTCACCAAGACTTGCCTGCCTTGCTGGGGCAGCCATGGAGAAACTAAGCATCACCGGCATGCAATTGCCATGCATGGAGATAAGTATTCTACATAATATCGGCTCACCTGCATGTTCAACCTACCCCTGGAACTTCAGTGGTTGACACGATTATTTGGTTAGCAGATAGTAAAACTGGAGGTTCTTGGAGGTATGAAGGAACACGGCTTCATGAATTGCAAATTCTGGAGCAGGAGTAGGGTGATTGTTTGCTTGACAGCAGTTTTTGGTAGAGAAGGATCTTGGGTAAGGATCAGGTAGGAAGTGGATCTTTTGCTGCTTCCAGGTCCTCTGATGGTTATTTGTCCCTTTGAAGTTCTTGGTGCTGGTGAAGGGCTTTTGATCCAGGGAACTGGAACCTTTTTTTTTTTTTTTTTTTGTTAGATCTAACCTGTTTACCTCCCATTCCCCAAAAGCTGTTTGATTATGGGTTGAATACATCCCACAAATACTATGTTGGTTACTTGTGTTTTTATCCTTTAGCCTTGTTGGCCATTACTGTGTAGTGTCTTTCCTTGGGAACTCCTCAAGGAAGGTTCCTTAATTGTGAGGAGTTTTTGATCCAAGGAATTAGACACCCTTTCCTTGGATAAAACATGAATGCCTCCCATCCCCATGTGCTTTATGACCTCTGTGGTTTTAGCAATTACCCATAAATATAATTATAGTATACCAAAGGTTTTAATCCTCCAGTAGAGTGAGAAACAGCTGTCATCCCAGTAATCCTATAAGAGGACTTGCTATGGAATTTTGGAAAATTATCACACTTACGACTGACTTTCTAACACACTAGCCTATTGCATTAACTTCGTAGATTTTTCATTTCCCTATGCTCACTAACCTCTACCCTTACACACCCCTCAAGAGAGGTTCCTTGACACTGGTGAGGGGCTCTTGATCTAGGGAAATTGGATCTGTGCCCCAGTTCCCTGAATACCTTCCACCCCCACAGACAGGTGCTGTATAATCCCTACGGGTTTAGTGCTATCCCATGATTATAATAATCTACCCTTACATACTCCTGCCTCTCTCTGCCTCCTGTCCTTCACATGTTCCTCCTCTCACGTACTTGTGGCTTAGCGCTTTTTTGATTATAATAATAATAATCCTCTCACGTATCTCTCCCTGCAGTGCTGTATGACTAAGTTTGGGTTTAGTGTTATCCTGATTTTTATATATATATATTATATATATATATATATATATATATATATATATATATATATATATATATATATATATATATTATATATATGCTGTATAGCCCTTGTGGCTTAGCGCTTCTTTTTGATTATAATAATAATATATATATTATATATATATATATATATATATATATATATTTTCTTTATACATATACAGAATTTTATGTATATCTTAATGCTATTTACCCTACTACCATGTCTAGCCTCATTTAGTTTGACTGACCCACAAGGAACAGGGTTTCCTCAATGAAGGCTCTTTGATGCTGTATGGAGCTCTTGATCCAAGAAAATAGTTTATTTCTGCTTTCTATGATCAAATTCTGATTGCCTTCCATTCGCCAGGCACTCAATAACCCCTAAGGGCTTAGTTAAGTGCTTCCCCTAAATACAAAAATGTAGTCTCTTCCGGAAGGTAAGTTTCTTGAGAGAACGTGAGAGGATCTTTATCCAAAGAATTATTTGTTCTCTTCCTACAGAGTTGTCTGGTGTTACTAACCCTTTAACTAAAAATAAAATACAATGTATTAGCTTTGCCTTTTAATTTCGTAGTCCAGAGTTGAAGTTGCCATGAAGTACATGTGCAACAGCAGAGCTGAAGCCAGTAATCATGGTGAGACAAACATTATCACAGCCATAGTAATTGAGTCTTGAAATGAGAATGTTCTACACCCATTCACACCCCTCAAGGGAGGTTCCTCGACGCTGGTGAGGGGCTCTTGATCTAGGGAATTGAATTTGCTCCAGTTCCCTGAATTGAGTCTGAATACCTTCCATTCCCCCCCCCCACATGTGCTGCATTATCCTACGGGTTTAGTGCTTCCCCATGATTATAATAATACACCCATTCTTGCACTTGCTTGGAAAATAATTTCAGTCAGTCATGTACCGTCCAGAACTGACCAAAACGTCTTCATAAGCTCTCTCGTGTAAGCGTGGGTTATTGATGAATTTTTCAAGCCATGGTACTGTGACATTCTTCCCGCTACAATCAATTTTAATGTTTCTTAAATGATTTTTATAGCAGACTGATTTTAAGCTGAGCACAAGATGTGGCGTCTCTCTTTTTATAACGGAATTTAAAGATTACACAAACCTGTATTACGAATTCCTTTCCAGGTGATGAGGGTCCCTTGATGCTGGTGAAGGGCTTTTGATTCAAAGAATTAGAGCTACTCTTCCCTTTTTCGGCCCCTCAAGGAAGGTTCCTTGATGTTGGTGAGGGGCTCTTGATTTAGGGAATTGGATCTGTGCTCCAGTTCCCCGAATTAAGCCTGAATGCCTGCCACATCCCCCCCAGGCGCTGTATAATCCTCCGGGTTTAGCGCTTCCCCTTTGATTATAATAATAATAATTCCCTTTTTCGGATCAAACCCGACTGCCACCCATCGACCAAGTGGTGTATGATCCTTCTGGATTTGGGGCTTCCCAATTTATTATAATATGCTACAAATTATGATGTACATTTAAATACAAAATATCCTTATTTTATTTATTTGGGTAATGTTTGGAAATTTATGTAAAAAAAAATTAGGAATCTTTGGTGAATGTTTACAAACGTGAATTAACTATTCCTTCATTAGTCCTATCCAGAGAGCAAATGCTTTACATTTTATGACGACTTCCTCTTGCACCAGGTTAAAGGACATGGCTAGAACAGCCAGACCAAATATCAAATAAAGCGATCCAGTTACTAGCTTGATTTGAGCTTCTTGTGTTTCATAGCCGAGTGACTTGCCAGGCACAAAGTCGCCAAAACCTATGGTGGAGAGAGTGATGAAGCAGAAGTAACCAGCATCAAGAAGTGACCAGTCTTCCAGCCATCCAAACAGCAGAGATCCCACTCCAATGTAGGATGCAACAAAAGCTAAAACGATAGGGATGGGCACACGATTATCAGCGTCTGACGTATCTGGCGGTATTGGTCTGTAGCTGAGCCCAAGCATGTCCCCATTAACTGCCTGCCCAGAGATAGGGTCAGTAAAGACTGTAGTGGCATCCCCACGGAACTGACTGAATCCACCTTTATTCATGAGCGCCATCTTACGCGCAACTTTACTTTGCTCCAGCAGAGCGTCTCCGGATAGTGTGTTATACACAACTAATGTTTTACCTGGGGAGTGAGGAGGTCTCTCTCTGATACGGACACATGAATCATCTGCCTCGCTTCCGTAAGGCACCAGACCTCCATTAAATGGACTAGAGTCTTGTCTTGGCCAAGGGCAGCTGGCAGCTAGGGACGTACAGGAAGCATGATGTGTCGAGGCAGTGAGTACAGGAGAGCCGGTTCTTGTCGAGTAATTAGACGGAGGCAGTTCATTGTCATGTTCGATCACTATGTGAGGGCAGCCGTTTTCCTTCCGAACCATCCACTCTGAAGGTGAGTCTTGACTGAGAGGCGACGAGGGTGCTGACATGTCAGGTGTGTGAGGGGTGGTCATAGTGGGTGAAAGCAGAGAGTTAGGCGTCACCATGTCATAATCGTGGCAGTCATTGTTGGACCCCACGAGGGAATTGATGACCAGACCTGGTACACTGGTATTGGTGTAAGCTGCACACTCTGCCACAATGCGGTTAGCCTCTGCGTCAGGGAGAGTCAGGTGGGTGTGCGAGGGACGGGGATATCTTGGCGTGGAAGTCTTCGACGAGGAGTTGGAGGGCTCTGTTAGAGAGGAAGGCTCGAACGGGTTGTCTGAACCTCGGTGTATGGTGGCGGAGATGGGAGGAGAAATGAGCATGTTGCGCCTGCTGGGTTTGTACCTCGGTGGTGGAGTGTAGGGTGCGGGACTCACAGGCTCTGCTGACCCACTGTAGGAAAATGGAACTATTAAACTTTCCTAATCTAGTGTAGTAACACTAGTATCTAATTAGTTATCTATAAATGTCAATCTCTCTCTCTCTCTCTCTCTCTCTCTCTCTCTCTCTCTCTCTCTCTCTCTCTCTCTCTCTCTCTCTCTCTCTCTCTCTCTCTCTCATCTCTCTCTCTCACTCTCTCTCACACACACACACACACACACACACACACACACCACACACACACACACACACACACACACACACACACACACACAGGTTTTACAATATTAGGTTAAGGGTTCTTAACTTTATTTACAAACTAAGAGCTGTTACCTACTTCAGCTCATTTGAAAGCCTTTCATCTTGGATGCAGCGCTGTATGACTTTTGTGGTTTAGCGCTTAGTTTAGATTATAATAATCATCTTACTTTGGAGTCTGTAGGGTGGAGGAGGAGCCTGGGTCGTCCTGGTCTTGCTGGCCGCGACAGCAGCACACACAACACACTCGACGATACACGAACCTGCAACAGAATCTTGTTGTGACAGTCTGTTGCCTCCCACGAGCTGTCTGACCCTTATGTGATTAGCGCTTTCCCGTAAATGTAATAATAATAATGATAATCCTGTAAGTGACATGACAGGAAAAAATGACTTGTCGCTCTCTTACCCATAACTCGCTGAACATAAGCCCTTGTGGCTTAGCGCTTCTTTTTTATGATAATAATAATAATAATGTGCTGAAGCGTGCAAATTATAGTTTATCTTTATGGAGTGTTTAGCGCGTCCTCTTTGACTTATTAAAACGAGAGAATAAAGTTCTTGACCTGAAGAATCCGAGGCCTAATGAATTTAAAAAGCTACTTTCTGTTCTGTGTGGGGGGTTAACACCCGACCACGGTAGGAGACGGCAGGTATGGAAAAAAAAATCAGGGAAGGCGTGTACTCACTGCAATAGGTGGATATGATGGAGGAGGCGTGTGCTCACCTGAAGGAGGTGGCCATGGAGTCCCCTATGTTGGAGAGACAAAGTAGCATGAGTGGAATGCCAATAATAGCATACACGATGGTCATCATCTTGCCCACCCACGTCCTGGGCGACACATGCCCATAGCCTGCCGGAGAAAATGGCTGAGAGGGGCACCTGGGTACGAGGTTAGGACACTCACGGACAATTGAAATGCACTATTAGTAAGTAAATAATTTTATTCAGGTATACACAAATAAAGTTACACAGATTATCATATATAGCAGCACACAGTTACATAGATTATCATAGCAGTATATGCAAAATAACCGCTGTGAAAGAATAGTGAAATTCCAAGCGCTTTCGTGACCTCTCACATTATCAAGGAACTATAAAGACGATACTTCAAAGGAAGGCATATAAAAGTTGAGACCACACCTCACCATCACATCCCACAACAAAGCAAACACCTGACACGCGACGACATTCGACTCATAAGAAAGAAACATTTAAGATGTCGTCGCGCGCCAGGTGTTTGTTTTGTTGTGGGATGTGATGGTGAGGTGTGGTCTCGACCTTTACATGCCTTTCTTTGATGTATTGTTTTTATAGTTCCTTGATAATGTGAGAGGTCACGAAAGCGCTTGGAATTTCACTATTCTTTCACAGTGGTCGTTTTGCATATTCTGAAATCACCTGTTTACTGTGATCTTATTGCATAGCAGTATATGTGTAGAGAACCTAGGATAACCCAAAAAAGTTAGACGAAGTGATTTATTTTCATTAGAGTCCTTTACATATTACGTGTCATTCGTAGAGCATGTTTGTCAACGGGATTAAGAAAAGAACATTCTCGTGCACAAAGATTCCTTCAAGATGGGAATCTTAAGGCACTTGAAAATAAAAATTAGGCTATTCTTCTCATTCTTTACGTCAAATTTATGAATTATTTTTCTTCTCACGGTTCCGTAAAACCCTGGCGTGTCTAGCGCTTCCCTATGAATACACTAGTACTACTACTACTACCACTACTACTACTACTACTACTACTATTACTACTAATTTTACTTCTACTATTACTACTACTACTATTTCTACCTCTACAATTACTACTTCTACCGTTATTACTACTACTGTGAGAAATTACCTGCATGAGGTTTACGTGCAAGTAATTTGGTTGAGATAAGTGGGACTTAGTCACAGTCGGTCGCAGGACTGTAACTCCCTCGATGCCCACTTCATCACCACTCACAAAAAGCTAGACCTAATATTTAAATTAATAATTACAATATTAAACATTAATACTAGTAATGGTAAATTATAAAATAATGTGGACTGTATATGATTAGGCTTGCTGGGTACACGGAATATTATTATTTTACATAAATTATAATGGTGTTATTATAAAAGAAATTTGTATTACCACTTACCATTTAATTACTGTAGATGGATAAAACCAGAACACCTTCCTGACACAGACCCTACACTGACCAGCTAAAGATCTAAATGAAAGGACTAATGGAGCACTTCCCTGTGTGAGTGGTGGCGTATTTTTTATCCTACGCCATCCACACGTAATTCTTGAGGTCCCGCAAATTTCCTGTCCCGATTCTTCAGCAGGGGACATTAATACAGATTCCTATTACAAGTTCAGGCCGAAACACGCAAATTTGGCCTCGAAGACGCCGGATTATTAGCTGAATTTTCCATGACAACCAGTGCTCGCAAAATACAAATGGCATCTCTTCCCTGTATCCAGTCCCTGGACCCATTATGTACCTTTGTAATCTTTTGACTATCGCCCACAGGATGGGTATGGGGTGCATAATAAAGATATTAAACTAACTTCCCTGTATCACTCTGCGGCGGCTGCACACCCTCTTTCACATACCATTTTAATACAGTTATTATATTCAAATTTACACATGCTGAATTTGGGATATTCAAAATTTTCCACAACTACTATTTCTACTACTACTACTACTACTACTACTACTACTAATAATAATAATAATAATAATAATAATAATAATAATAATAATAATAAAATAGAGCCGCTAATAAACTGTATAGTATATATATTTCAAGATATACAACGCAAACTGTAATCACAATGCTGAAAACCTCACAATAAACCTCTGAATTGCGAGATTAAATCGAGTTAGGGGAGTGAGGCAATGAAATAAGATTAGGCTCTTCCGTAGAATTTAAAGAGATTCATATACCAATATACCTTGCATTGCGATCCTTCAAGGGAAAAAGAAATGAAGGGTGACTTAACGCTGGTGAAAGGGGAGTTTGATGAAGCTGATCAAGAGAAGTGGAGCTACAATCCTATCACTGGTGTTGATCTTACTTACTTACAACTCTCTATTTGCTGTATCGCTGTAGCGTTTCCTCCTGAATAGAGTAATAACAATAATAATAATAATAATAATTTTATTCCAACAAACTGGCCATATCCCACCGAGGCAGGATGACTTAAAAAAGAAAAGCCAAAGCTTTTCTTTTTAAATTTAATAATTTATACAGAAGAAGGGGTTACTACCCCCTTGTTCCCGGCATTTTAGTAGCCTCTTACGACACATGGCATCCGGGGGGAGAATTGTTCTCCACTTCCCCATGGAGAATAATAATAACAATGATGACGATAATAATAATAATAATAATAATAATAATAATAATAATATAATAATAATAATAATAATAATAATAATAATATTTAATGTGAGGGGGTGTCTGGTACTTCACGTCCTCCCTACTGAGATAAACAACAGGGTAGAAGAGGTAACATGGCCTCCACAACCCTCTCGGTGAGGTATAAAAAGGAAATAACTGGGTCTCAGTAACCCCTGGTTGAGGTAAACAGGGAGGCAGGGTGCTGGAGTGGTAGGGATGACGCAGGGAAGAGGAGCTGCTAGGAAACTAATGAAGCTTAAGCTTCAGGGTCCCTAATCCCAGAGGGGCCCCCAGAAACGATTTTAGTTCACATTCTTAAAAATTTCGAGTCCACTGTATGAAAATGGTTGCGAAGGGGCCCTCATAACAGTTCAAGCTTCAGGGCCCCAAAAATGTAGGTCCGCCACACAGTGGCAGACTTACATATAAGAGAGGCAGGGGGAGAGTAAACAGGCGGGACAGAGAGCTGAAGAAAGTAAATGTAAAAAAGGGAGAAGAAGACGGTAAATGTGAAGGAAATTAGTGAAAAAGCCACATACACCGAAAAGATTTTAAATAATACGACGTTTCACCTGTACCTGATCAAGCTTCACGAAGGCGAAAGGTCGTACTAAGAAAGGTCTCGTTTTGTTGTCTCTGCCACTTTTAGAGTTAATCTATACTTCATCTAAACAGATGAAGGAGGAGCTGGAGAAGGTGAGTGTGAAGTATACAGGTGAAGGAGCTGGGGAGGTAAAGGAGCTGGGGAGGTGAAGGAGGAACTGGGGAGGTGAAGGAAGAGCTGGGGAGGTGAAGGAGGACCTGGGGAGGTGAAGGAGGACCTGGGGAGGTGAAGGAGGAGCTGGGGAAGTGAAGGAGGAGCTGGGGAGGTGAAGGTGAAATATACAGGTGAAGGAGGAGCTGGGGAGGTAAAGGTGAAATATACAGGTGAAGGAGGAGCTGGGGAGGTGAAGGTGAAGTATACAGGTGAAGGAGGAGCTGGGGAGGTGAAGGCGAAGTAGAAGCTGGGGAGGTGAAGGTGAAGTATACAAGTGAAGGAGCTGGGGAGATGAAGGTGAAGTATACAGGTAAAGGAGAAGCTGGGGAGGTGAAGGTGAAGTATACAGGTGAAGGAGAAGCTGGAGAGGTGAAGGTGAAGTATACAGGTGAAGGAGGAGCTGGGGAGGTGAAGGTGAAGTATACAGGTGAAGAAGCTGGGAGGTGAAGGTGAAGTATACAGGTGAAGGAGGAGCTGGGGAGGTGAAGGTGAAGTATACAGGTGAAGAAGCTGGGGAGGTGAAGGTGAAGTATACAGGTGAAGGAGGAGCTGGGGAGGTGAAGGTGAAGTATACAGGTGAAGGAGGAAGTGTAGGTGAAGGTGAAGTATACAGGTGAAGGAGGAAGTGTAGGTGAAGGTGAAGTATACAGGTGAAGGAGGAGGTGGAGGTGAAGGTGAAGTATACAGGTGAAGGAGGAGGTGGAGGTGAAGGTGAAGTATACAGGTGAAGGAGGAGGTGAAGGTGAAGTATATAGGTGAAGGAGGAGGTGAAGGTGAAGTATACAGGTGAAGGTGAAGTATACAGATGGAGGAGGTGGAGGTGAAGGTGAAGTATACAGGTGAAGGAGGAGGTGAAGGTAAAGTATACAGGTGAAGGAGGTGGTGAAGGTGAAGTATACAGGTGAAGGAGGAGGTGGAGGTGAAGTATACAGGTGAAGGTGAAGTATATAGGTGAAGGAGGAGGTGGAGGTGAAGTATACAGGTGAAGGAGGTGGTGAAGGTGAAGTATACAGGTGAAGGAGGAGGTGGAGGTGAAGTATACAGGTGAAGGAGGAAGTGAAGGTGAAGTATACAGGTGAAGGAGATGGAGGAGGTAGCATCCCAGAGTACGTGTTAGCACTGGGGATTTGTTGATGCAATCGGCACTTAGAAGTCTTCCTTATAAATTCTTTAATGTCATCTTATAACCTTACTGTGGTTCAATACACAACTTATGACGACGTTTCGGTTCGATCTGGATTAATGACTAGTCACACGTGTCCATCTCACAATGGTCAACGGTCCAAGTCGGACCAAAACGTAGCCATTACCTCTCCTAAGTGATGGGTTATGTGTGCATATACTGTATTAGCTTATTTGCATTCATATACATACAATGAATAAATTAAATCAGGCTAACCTTATTCATAACTACTACATTTCTTTCGTAAATTTCTATGTTTTGGCTTGCGTGTCCAAAACATATTTTGGTTTAAGTGGGGAAACTATTTTAGACAATATAATGCCAGCTTAAATATGCTTTTATTCACATTTGTTGATTGACCTTCTTTTCTGTCTACGTAAACTGATTTACGGTTCACAGTTTATACTTGTAACTCTTGGAGGATAAATTAATCTATGATAAAAGTCTCAGGATACTGTCACCTAGAAATTTTGGTTCCCACTGTATCAGAGAGCGGATGTAAGAGTGTAATCTAGAGCAAGTCTATTATTTGCTGTAGTAATAAGATATTTGAAAAGGTATCCACAAATTGAGTTGGGTAAATGATTAACCATGAAATGAGGTTGCGATACGTGAAATTACTTGAATGTATTACTGTACCCAATGAAGGTCAAAGAAAGACTCACTGTGACCTCTGTGATCCTGCGCTACCGCTCACACAATGATGTGCGGGTGCGCAATAATCTAGCCGTTCACAGGATGAGCTGCGGGTGAGCAATAAACTAGCAGCTCAGGCCACACAAAGTAATAAAACGTAACCAGGAAACAGACACTACTCAACTGTGGTAGTGATGACTGACACACACTGCTCACCTATGGTAGTGATGACGGTGACGCAGTAAAAGAGGGAACCGATAACGTTCCACTTCTCGCGCTGCTTGTCGGGGCCCTGGTCGTACAGCTGGTTACTCACCGCCGTCACCAGCTGAGCTTCGAACTCCGCCAGGCGGTCCATGACCTCCTCCCTCCACCGCGAGGAATTGAAGATCTCCCTCCAGTCTTGGGAGCTTAGTTCCTGCCCCGCCCGCTCTGCGGAGTGATAAACCTTGAAGGGAAGGTGCCTTGATGCTGGTGAATAGCTTTTGATACAAAGAGGCTTTCCCTAAATTAGATGAAACTTGATTATCTCCAGTTTCTCAGGAGTTGTAAGACCCCTATAGGTTTAGCGCTTCCCTATGAATATAATATTTTAGGCAAAAGGACACATGTGCAACTAATGCGACCTTTTACTGTGTAAACGTTTCGCTCTCCAGGAGCTTTGTCAAGCTGTTACGGCTTGACAAAGCTCCTGGAGAGCGAAACTTTGCCACAATAAAATGTTAAGTTACACACGTGTTCTTTTACCTAACATATTGTCAGTAATTCTACAAACATTACATGAATATAATAATTTAAAAGCACATAACCTACAGAGATGAATTATCTCTAACTCCCCCATCCTCGTCAATTGCTCTAAATTCCCTGGGATCTAAATGTATCATACTTGTGCCTCAAGGTAAAGATATGCACGAGATGTAGAGAAATGGTATAAAATTTCGACACTGGAAAGATTGTTTATTGACAAAACTGTCAATAAAGGATCTCATTACACTACATCTGTACTCACCTAATTGTGGTTGCAGGGGTCGAGTCATAGCTCCTGGCCTCTTCACTAGTCGCTACTAGGTGTGTGTGTCACTCACCGGTGATGTTGAAGAAGTCTTGCAAGTAAGCTGTGCGGTGTTGCAGGGGTTCATAGTGGGCCTCCACATACTTCTGTTCCAGCTCCCTGAAGAGGAAGGCGCCGGCCACTGAGTACCCGGCCACGAAGGCGCACAGACCTACGTGGCTGAAGACAATGTAATAACCAGTTTCACCCCGCGTTCGAACCCACTCCAGCTACACTTGTCCATCATAAGGCAGGTGACGCCGTGGGGAACTGGAAAAATCACAGGAACTGACGTTATCTTAGTTGCATGATGTCCTGCCTGGCTCATGCTACTGCTTATTACATCCAACCCAACACCTTCATTATATATATATATATATATATATATTATATATATATATATATATATATATATATATATATATATATATATATATATATGTCGTGCCGAATATGTAAAACTGGTCAATTAGCAAGAACTCACTTAAAATTAAGTCCTTTCTAAAATTTTCTCTTATACGTTTAAAGATACATTTTTTCCATTAATGTTGATGTAAAAATTTATAATTTCGCACCAAAAGGAACTTAAAAAAACTTACCTAACCTTATTATAACAAGCGCAATTTATTTTAGCCTAACCCAACTAAATATATTTTAGATTTGTTTACAATAATTTAATACTAAACAAACACAGTGAAATATATTTTTTTCGTTAGGTTCAGAATGATTTTGGCGAAATTATTGCATACACAAATTTTCAAATTGTCCTATATGGCCCAAAATGAGCGTTGCTATTTAAGCCAAGATCGCAAGTTCTGCCTATTCGGGACAAATAAATTAAAAATATTTGGGGAAAAAGTAAATGGTAATTAAAAGAACCAAAAAATTAAGTTTTCAAAAATTTTTTTAAAATTTGAAAAATTTTTTTTAATTTAAAAATTTTTAGAGGCAGAGAAGTTTGTTTTAAAAAGGAAGGGGTGAGGAGGGAAGGGGGGATTGTGGAAGATATTTGAGATGTAAGGGAGAAAAAAGTTACTTTAGAAAGTTTTTAAGTAGAAGGGCAAAGGGGGGGAAAATTTAGGAGAAAAAAAAAGGGGAAGAGAGATGGTGAAAAAATGTAAAAAGAGGAATAGGAGTGGGGAATTTTAAAAATTTTGGAAAATAAAAAAGTTTTGGAGTGAGAAAACAATTTTGAAACAGGGGAAAAAGGATTTGAAAAAATAGGGGGAAGTTTAAAAAAGGGAGGTAAGGGGTTTTTGGGAAGAGGAGGAAAATTTTTAGGAATTTAAAGGAAAAAAGATTAGGAGGTTTTATTCGTGTAAGGGAAGGGGGAAATAAATTTGGGATAAAAGGAGAGAGGGAGGGGGGGAAGTTGTGGGGCAGAGGGAAAATAGGGGGTAGGCCGGGATAGGGAAAAAAAAATTTTAAAAGAGGGGGGGAATTTTTTTTGGGGGGGGGGAAATTTTTTAAAAAGATGGAAGGGGAGGATGGGGAGGCAGAAGATGCAAGCCCGTATAAAGGAAAGGGGATAAAAGGAGGCAAAAATTTATGGGGGGGATAAGCTGTTGGTTTCCCGGGGGTTTTTTGGGAAATTTTAAATGAAAAATTGGGTGAGGGAAATAGATAGCGAAAAAAACCCTTTAAAAAGGGGGGGGGGCGGGTTTTTAATGAAAAAATTTAAGTAAATTTTAAAAGGTAAAGGGGGTCTTTGTGGATTTAGGGATTTGGAAAAAGGCATAGGGGGGACCAGGGGGATGGGGGGGGGAAAATGTGGCAGATGTTGAAAAAAGTGTATGGTGTAGGAGGTAGGTTACTGAAAAGCATTGAAGGTTTTTACGGGGAAATAGTGAGGCTCAAGTTGAGAAAGTAGGAAAAAAGGGAAAATTTTTTCCCAGAAAAAAGTGGCCTTAGACAAGGATGTGTGATGTCCCCCGTGGTTTTTTAAAATATATTTATGATGGGGTTTTGTAAGAGAAGTTAAATGCGAGGGTCTTGGCAAGAGGGGGATTTTAAAAGATAAAAATCACCAAAAAGTGGGATTTGTCACAGCGTCTTTGTGATGACATGGCTTTGGGAAGATTCTGAAGAGAATTTGCAGGATTGGTGGATGAATTTTGGTAGGGTGTGCAAAAAAAAAAATTTTAAGGTGAATACGGAAAGGTGGGTTATGAGGATAACAAAAAGTTTAGGTGATGAAAGATTGAATATCGATTGGGGGGGGAGAGTTTTGGGGGGAGGAGGTAAATGTATTAGATATTTGGGAGTGGAGTGTCGCGGATGGGTCTATGAAAGAGGAGGTGAATCATAAAATTGATGGGGGAAAAAAAAGATGGGGTGGTGATTAGGAGTCTGTGGAGCAAAAAACTTTGTCCTTGGGGGCAAGAGGGGAAATGTATGGAGTTATTTTTTCCCAACGCTCTTATATGGGTGTGAAGCGTGGGTGAGAATTTTGCAGCGAGGAAAAGGGGAGGCAGTGGAGATGTCATGTCTGGGGGAAATGTGTGGTGGATATAATGCAGAGAATTCGTATTTTGGAAAGTTAGGAGGAGGTGGGGGGGATTCCCAAAAACTGTTGTCCGAGGGCTGGGGAAAAGGGTTTTTGAGGGGTTTTTTGGGACATGTGAGGAATGGGCGAAACAAAATCTTCAAGAGGGGATCAGTCTGTAGTGGAAGGAAGGGGGGGGGTAGGGGGTCGGCCTAGGAAGGGTTGGAGGGGGGGGGGTTTAAAGGAGGTTTTTGTGCGAGGGGCTTGGACTTCCGCAGGCATGCGTGAGCGTGTTTGAAGGGTGAAAGGGCAAAAGGTTTTTAATATTGACGTGTGTTGGAGTGTGAGCAAAGGGAACATTTATGAAGGGATTCGGAACCGGGGGCCGGACTTGGTCCCGGGATGGGGAAAAAACAGTTTCCCCGCACTTGGAAGGGGGGTGTTTTTAAAAAAGTTGCAGTTTTAAAAAATGTGTGTAAGCACCCTTTGGCAAGACATGTGGAGGAATGATGGTGAAAATTTTTCTTTTTCGGGCCCCCCTGCCTTTGGGGGGGAATCGGCCCCGGGTGTTAATAAAAAAAAATAAAATAAAATTTTTTAATTTTGCACCCAAAGGAACTTTGAAAATACCCAACCCTTTTTATAAAAAGCGCATTTATTTTAGCCTAACCCAACTAAATATATTTTAGATTTGTTTACAATAAAATTTTTACTAAACAAACACAGTGAAAAATATTTTTTTCGTTTTTGGTTAGAATGATTTTGGGAAATTTTTGCATACACAAATTTTTACTTGTCTTATTGTAAGTGAGCTTTTATTTAAGCCAAAATGGCAAGTTGCCTATTTGGCACGAATTATAATTTAAAATATATAATATTTTATTTATTTTATATATATATAATTTTTATATAAAACACTGATTCTGGCTGAAAGGGGACCGAACCCACTAACTTGGAACAAGGTGCAGTGCTTACCCAAATTTCCCACACTGGACCAATACCTTGGAGTCCAGCTGCGCTAGACTTTGATCCAAGGCAGCCCCGCTTTTAGGGAAGGGTTAAACTTTTCTCTCATCCCCCGTATGCACCCGCCTTACTAGGAAATTTTTAAAATGCAAGGAATTTGAAAAAAGGGAGGCGAAAAATACACAAACACTGATTCTGGCTGAAGGAGACTCGAAACTACGAACCTGGAACAAGGTACGCAGTGCTTTTCCCGTCTACCCACACTGGACCCAAAACCCCTTTGGAGTCCGCTTGCGCTGGTGGAGAGGTGAGTGAAAAGCTGTAAACCTTCTCCTGAAGTGGTGCCTTGGATAAAAGTCTAGCGCAAGCTGGACTCCAAAGGGATTGGTCCAGTGTGGGTAGTTTTTTAAAGCACTGCGTCCTTGTTCCAAGGGTTTGTAGGTTCGAGTCTCCTTCAGCGAGACAGTGTTTGTGTATATTTTGCCCGCTCTTGTGAATTCCTTGCGTTAAATCTCTGTAAGGTGTGTATGCAGGGGTGAGATGAAAAGTGTAAATCTTCCCATGGAAAGGGCTGCCCTTTGGGTCAAAGTCTGCGCAAATGAACTCCCAAGGGATTGGTCAGTGTGGGTGATTGGTAAAGCCTGCGTACCTTGTTGCAGGTTCGTAGGTTCGAGTTCCTTCAGCCAGAGATCAGGTTTGTGTAATTTCGCCTGCTCTTTCGAATTCCTTGCATATTTTTATATATTTTATTTATATATATTTTTATAAATTTATATATATAATTATATATATATTTATCCCCCCCGAATATACCACTAGGATACAAAACTACCCTCACCACGAGCACCAACAGTACCACCATCACTCACACACAGTAAAGACCCAGAATACATATAGAGACAAGGTATGTTAGCTATGTACATACAATATGTACACGAAAGATTCGTTGTTATTTGAATTAGAGGGAACGAGATGTGTTATTTTGCTTACAGAGGGTTAGAACCATTTGGTTACTGAGTGCTTGGAATATATTCCGTTACAAACATTATCAAATTTTAATATCAATACCCACTTGCTACTGTGGTGACCAGTTCACTCACATAATACATAATTCATAATCATAACGCAACGAAAACTACTCAAAATCAATTTGTTCATAATTTGTAATCTACAGCGAGGTCTGGTCACAGACCGGGCCGCGGGGGCGTTGACCCCCGAAACCCTCTCTATATATTCATCCAGAAATCGTTCCACATCATCAGCCAGGAGTGTGAGCAAATTCGATGCATGGGGTAAACATCCCCGATATTTAAGCCAAAGTATGGAGGAAGGGATGGAGGGTTGCTGGGTTTTAAGTCAGGCTAAGCCGCTCAAACCTGGCCACCACAGCAAGGTGAACCAATATCGGTGGGAAAGTGAGAACAAGACATTTTAAAAGTACGTAAATACTCGTATAGTACAACAAAATAATTATTAGATATTTTGAAAATTAAAATTATCGCTGTTGAAGGCTGGAACAGAACCAAGGCTAAGATAGTAAGACGGGAAACCACGAGCATAGTCTGACAGTCTCTATTCTTGTAGCCAGTAATATATCACTAATAGGTAACACCTTTAAAAAATTTATAAAAGTCACATGAAGAATCAACTCATGCAATTCTGTAATGTTGCTAAAATAAGATTACAATTATCTGCAAGACGAAGATAATAAAAATCTAAAAACATAGAGCGACCAAGAATTTTTTTTTGGGTGGGAGGAGGAGGGGGAGCGGTGAGTCCACGAGGACGCTAGAAACTGTTTACACTGTTAAAATGCTGC